ATCTTATATGCAGTCCATCCTTGACTGAAATGTTGTTATGTGGCGCATGACTGTAGTTTGTTAGGTATTAAACAGAACTATCTGTGGGGAACCTGCCACCCTGAGAGGTGACATGCATACCAAATACAACAGCTCCTTCAGATCTAAGCTTATCTGCTGCTCCCACACAGTACCAATACAGGTACCTCTCCTTTGTATACTTTGTTATAATATTTACAATTTCACATTTCAGTGATTATTTGATTAATGTCTTCCTCCCTTGCTGGACTAATTGTCTTCCCAATTTTCAAAGCTTTTCTGATTTCATTACAACTCAGGAATACCCACTTCTATCTCCTAAAATTCCAGTCCTATATCGTACCTCCTCAGGTCCCCACCTTCCAGAGTCCTGGCTCTCATCTCTTACTTCCCTAGATCCCTCAGTTTTTCTCACATACTTATTGATCCCCTTCAATTTGCAGTTCTAAGACTCAAATTTATTTTCCTTTATCCATTTGATTTAAAAAAAAAAAAAAAAAAACCTTATTTTAATATCTCTATTACTATTTGTCATCCATATCACCTTCATTTTTTATTTTTAATGCACAGTTCCATCTTTTGGTAACTGTCTCTAATACGGACAATAAATTAATTCAGTTCATGTATACTGGAATTCTCATGATTGTCAAAATTTTGTAGACTAGAATATGGGGTGGGTCACTGACTTAATCTATTTATCTATATTCTCAAGGTATATACAAGCATACGGTGCCTAAGATTATATCAGATCTTAAAAACAAAACAAACAAACAAAACAGCAGACCTTTTCTGGATCAATCAGAAGAAGATCCAGATCTCTGCCTGAATAGCATTCCCCTCTCCCCAGAGCAGTCCCTCTAACTCAGTCTGGTAAGCGCCAGACTATACAATCACCTAATTCAGGAGACCTTTGACTTCCTTGGGCCACAGGGGAAGAAGAATAATTTTCTAGGGCCACACATAAAATACACTAAAACTAATGAGAGCTGATGATCTTTAAAAAAAATTACAAAAATCTCATAATGTTTTAAGAAAGTTTGTGAATTTGTTGGGCCACATTCAAAGCCATCCTGGGCTGCATGAGGCCCATGGGCTGCGGGTTGTACAAACCCATTCTAATTGTTAAACAGTCTGGAGATACATTGTAGTCTATGATGAACAAGCATGATTAACAACTATTTTAGATTACTATCCTCTAAAGACATGTAAAACAAACTAGTTAGTGCATTGCTTCTAAAAACAGAACTAACCTTTCCAAAGTGCTTTTAAGTATATCATCTGCAGGATTTTCTTGTTTTCTTTAATACATTTTAAACTTAAGTAGTTTCTATTTATCCCTTCTTTGTTTTCTCTCTCCTTCTTAGTAAAAAGATACCTAGATATTTACAGGAAGAAATTATTTTCCACTTTTTCTCACTTACCCTAAATTCTCTATATGTGAGTCCTTTAATCCTTCCTCATATTAATCCTTTAAATGTTTTCTCATTTGTGCTGATTAGACGGCTGGCATTGTAAGCACAAAGTGGAGACCTTGCTAAAACATGCAGACCTACAACATAGTCCTTTTTGAGTCTCATATTACCCTGCCTTACCTCTTCACTAAGTCCAGAAACAGCTGGGGCTGAAACAAACTGTTAATTACCAATCCAACATCATTTCCACTTCTTCCTTGCTATGAGATCCCCAATTTTATTCAAGTAGCAATATTAACCAGGCCCAAACAACTCATCAGGATTGCTATAATGATCTTCTCCCCTCACTTTCCCAGCCTCTTTTTACATGTAGAGGTGGCTCAGTGAGAAATCTGCAGGAGGATTACAGGCAACAAAAAGGAAATCCACAGATGGGAGGAGGAAGATAGTCTGAATAAAAGTACACTTTCCTAACAAAAGATATAGTTAACCCTTTTCCTTCCCACTGACTTGAGCACAGAATGGATCCAATGTCTGAAAATGTACCAGCCCTAGGTCTCTCTGCCACCACTAAGCAGGTGAACCAGCGCCAGCAACCACCTACTCAGGTTATGCTAGATGAGAGAAATAAACTTCTTTTTGTTTAAGTTACTGCTCTTTGGATAGTCAGTTATCTGCAGCAGTAAGCTTTCCTAACCAATTGACCAACCTTCCCTGATAATTCCAAATAGGGATTAGCTGCCCTGTAACAGAATGGATGAAATGCGATCAGACACTACAGGGCCACTCCATTCATGACCCACCATGAGAAACTAGAAGGTAGTGTAAGAATGCCAAGTCTGGGCCGGGCGTGGTGGCTCACGCCTGTAATCCCAGCACTTTGGGAGGCCGAGGCGGGTGGATCACGAGGTCAAGAGATCAAGACCATCCTGGCCAACACGGTGAAACCCCGTCTCTACTAAAAAAATACAAAAAATTAGCTGGGC